TAGGCTCAGGACCCATTCCCTGGCTCCTGCCCTGCTGGAGGGGTCTCTCCTGCCCACCGTATCTGAAGGAGCTGGTTGTAGGAGAACAGGCTGAGGAAGTGATTGCTCACAGGAGGGTGGGGAGGAAGCCAGCCTTTATGGGGCTCTTCCCGTGTGTCCCCAGCCAGCTGCAGTGTTTGCTCCTTTATCCACCAACAGAGTGGACAGTTAGAGCACGGACTCTTGAGCCAGATTCATGTCTTGCCTCCACCACTTTCCAGCTGTGAACCTCTCAGCAGGCTGGATCCTTCAGGGCCTCAGTTTTCCCATTTGCAAAGTGGAACGAGTGTTTCCAAAGTACTTAGAGGTAGTTCTGAGAGTTCAACTGTTAATAGCATCAATGCTCAGAGTGAACCTGACCTGTAGTAAGCAGCAAGTGGGTGTTGCCTCTTATTCAAACTTCGCAGAATCAGGAGAGGACTCTGAATGGCCAAGACTGGGCTCCCCACACCCACCATCAGCCTGTGACTTGACAGATAAGGAAACTGAGGCCCAGGAAGGGGAAGTGACACAGCTGGGATTCTGACCCTGTTGGTGAGCTCTCCCTAGTTCTCAGAAATAGCTGAGGGTATAGTTTTCTCAGTAGGCTGCTCTGCTTTCATAAAACCCAGCAGGACCCCCAGTCTGGCTCCTGGTAAGCCTTGGGTGGTGGAGGAGGGGATGGAGCTGGTACCAGCAGGCTAGTGTGATTTGCTTTGTGGAGAAGGGTGCCAGGTGCTGGGAGACAGCGGGGAGCATGGCACACCCAGCCCTGCCCTCTCAGATTCCCTGGATCTGCCAGTGACAGGAGATCAAGCAGTTTTACCATGGAGGGATCACTGCTGTCAGGGGGACATGGGCGCCTTAGGTTACCAGGAGGTCAAGGAAGGCTTCCTCGAGGAAGTGACGGCAAAGCCAAGACTTGCAGAACAGGGGGTAGTTAGCCAGACTCGGGCCCAGCTTGTGCTGGTCCCTGAGGTCCGGGGTAGCTGAAATGGGCATCAGAGAATGTGCCAATGCCCAGGGGAGGGAAGCTGGGGGCCCCGAGGTCCAGGTCCCAGCATCTCCCGCCTCACTCTGCCCTCTGCTCCTTTCCTCTAGATCGAGGCGCTGCCCCCTGAGCTCTTCCAGTGCCGGAAGCTGCGGGCCCTGCACCTGGGCAACAACGTGCTGCAGTCGCTGCCCTCGCGGGTGGGCGAGCTGACCAGCCTGACCCAGATCGAGCTGCGCGGCAACCGGCTGGAGTGCCTGCCCGTGGAGCTGGGCGAGTGCCCGCTGCTCAAGCGCAGCGGCCTGGTGGTAGAGGAGGACCTGTTCAACACCCTGCCCCCCGAGGTGAAGGAGCGGCTCTGGAGGGCCGACAAGGAGCAGGCCTGAGCACGCACGGGCGTCGAGCACGGGTGGCCCGGAGCGGGCGGCCTGCAGCCAGACCTCCAGGGAGGCCTCGGGCCCAGGAACCCAGGAGCCCCGGAGGGACCACCAGCTCAGCCTGTCAGCGGGGGTGCTGGAGCCGGGCCGGGCGACAGGACCGCACCGAAGGGCTGGCCCCTTTTCTCCTTGAGACTCGTGCTCCCCAGGGCGGGCGCCTGAGGGGGAGATCAGAGACCTGCAGTCCGTCTCCCAGCGAGCGCAGTATTTGGACAATCAGGGCCTGCTCCCTGGAGGCCATCGCTGCCCCAGAGGCCGAGCGGACGCCAGAGGTCCAGGGACACCTTCTTAGTTCTTGGTATTTATTTTCTCCACTTCCCGCCCCCTCCCTCCAGATAACTTATACATTCCCAAGAAAGGTCAGCTCAGATGGGGGGGGGGGTGTTGTTTGAGGAAGGGTAGCCATGTTTCTGTTTTCCTTTTCTTGGTGGTGCCGCCAGCCTTTAGCGCCCACCCAGACGTGAGCAGAGTGGTCCAGGGTGAACCAGCTGTGGGACGGTCACCCCAGAGGTGCCAGGCTGGGCTCTGGGGGCACAGCCCCTGGGAAAGCAGGCCACCAGACAGAGAAGCCAGGCCTGGGGTTTGCTGCCACCGTTGAGATTTTTTTTTTTAAAGGAGAAAGAAATTTTGTTTTTAAAAATTTGAAAATTGATGATTTGGGTATCAAAAAGAAAAAAAAAATTTTAAAAAAGGACACTAAAGGCCAGTGAGTTGGAGTCTCGGGGCAGGACAGCTGTCCCCCCCAGCAGAGCAGCAGGACACTGAATTCAGTTTCCTTCCCCCGGGGTGCAGGCTGCAGGATGCCTCCGGTCCGCGGTGACCTTGGTCCAGGAGTCTGTTTGTCCCTCTCCCCTCCTAGTGCGGGGATTATTTTGTTTTGTTTTTTTGGTGTCTTGTTTTCTTTCTCCTCCATGTATCTTGGCAGGCTCTTGTTTCTGTGGCTGTTGGCCAAAGGGAATGTTCCGGAACTGCCAAGAAGGGAGGGGACTCGGGTTGGCTAATCCCCAGATGAACGGTGCTCCGTCCCCACCCGCCACCCGCCACCCCCCGACTTTGTCGCAGTGTTAAGGAGCCCAGAGGAGCCACCTCGCCCGGACTGTGCTTTCCCACCTCATGTGTCATGAGTTAGCCCAGTGCCACCACGAGCCTCAGCTACTGACGTCAGCCCTGTCCCCACCTGGTGACGTGCCACCTTCAGCACAGGACACCTGGAGGCGGGGTCGCCACCGGGGTAGACGGGCTCTCCAGGTTCTGCTTACGGTTTCTGTCCCAGGCGCCCAGCCCACGCAGTGCCTGGTGATGGGAAAGCCAGCTCACTTTACTGAGATCAGTCTCCAGGGTCCCCGCCACCTTAGACCGATCACTTGGACACTAAGGCACGTTCTAGCGTCTCTCGTCTTCACAATTATGTCCATTCGTCTATTTGTGTTTTCCGCGCCGTGTCATCCGATGTAATCCTCAGAAATAATGCACACTAGCCTCTGACAACCATGAAGCAATCCGTTACACGTGGGTCTGAATATCAAATAAACCTATAACAGAAAGTGGCCTTTGGAGGTCTCCACGTCCCTCAGCTCTCTGAGGTCCGCTCGGCCCCGTGGTCTAGCCTGTGGAGTGACTGTTTCCGGGCTCCGAGAAGATAAGGAACTCTGTTTCCCTACCTGCCCCCTGAAGCCAGAAGCCCCTCACAGGCAGCTACCACCAGACACTCGCTGGACACAGCCCCTGTTGCCCGTCAGGCATGGATCCCGCAGCCAGGCGTCCTCTGCCGGCCAGAGCCTAGGGTTCGGGCCCTTGTGAGCTTTGGTGGGAGGGAAAGGAAGACGAGTGGGAGCCAGGAGGCTCGGGTCCTTGTCCCGGCTCAGGCATTCCCTACGTGAAGCTAGGCGGACCCTCCCTTCCCGAGCCCTCCACGTCCCCATCTGTGCATTGGGCACATCTACGCTGCTTTCCTCAGGTCCTTGTAATTCCAGCAACCAGTCTCCAGGGCTCTGCAGAGGCAGGCCCGAGAGTCACCGTGGGCAGTCCTGACCCAGCTCACAGCCCCTCTGGGCTGGACGTGCTGAAGGCCCGCGCTGGGGTCAAGGGCAGAGTTGCTCTCAGATCCTGGCTCTGCCCTTTACTTGAGGGGTCCTCGGTCCCCTCATTTATACAGTCAGGATGGTGTTGGCAACCTCACAGAATGGTTCTGGGGATTCCTTCACTTTTGCTGGTAGGTGCTCCACTCCAGCAATGGGCCTGGTTCCTGGTAGTCAGTCAGTCATCTGTCTTCCTCCTGGACCAGTGATGCTCCTGCTGGGCCAACATGGGCTCCGGGGCAGGGGTCTTTTGGTGAAGAAAAACGGCCATTGTGTCTGACCTTGGCCTTAACCATGAGGCCTTAGCTGCTGCTCGGGCAACATGGGGACACACCAGAGTATGTCCTCCTCACATGGACTTTGACTAACACCACCCCCCCACCCACAGGAGTCTTCCCTTCTGCCTCTGTCGTGGGATTTTTGAGCAGCGGGCCGTGACCCCATACCACACTCCTGTATCTCAGGAGTGGAGGTCTCCCTTGCCTGTCTGGTCTGGTACCTCTCCCACAGTGCTCCCGCCTCAGCTCTGGGGTGGCCCAGCCCCCGATCTGGAGCTAGTTAGGTTTTGGAAAAAAACAGCTGTGTGGAAACACCACCCACCCACTTCCCAAAGCCTGAGCAGAATGAATGGACAAATCACAGGGAGGCCCAGCCCTACACCTTCCCCCAACCCAGGGCTCTTCACTTGACTTAAAACCACACTGGTGGCCTATTCTCTGATTATAACAGCAATTTTGAAAAATTTTTTTTGAAAACTTGAGGACGTTCAAAAAATAAACTAAAAATACCTTCACATTCCACCCAGAACAGCTCCTGCTAACGAACAGTCTGTGGCACTTGCCAAGTGTCCGGGAGGCACTCCTTTTGTCCCCAAAACTGCGGATGGGAAAGTAAGGCCAGGGGCATGATAACATCCTGGTCAGGCTGCTGTTGGGGGTGGGTTCCCCAAGAGTTGCTGGCCCAGCACTAGAGGGGGACCTCTGTGTTCCTGGCACAAGGCGGCGGGTGTCTCTCTGGATCTGTGGGGGCAACCGATTGGGAAGGGGCCGCAACAGCTGGGATCTCTCCCTGCCTCGAGGGAGCAGAGTCTTGGCTGTGTTTCCCCAAAGGGTTCTCTCTTGTGTCTTCCTCACCAGCCTGTCCTTGGGGTACCTCACACCCTCTAGCCTCAGAAGCCTGCGGGGAGGCGGGGGGGCGCCCCTCCTCCAGCTCTCTGCTCTGGGGAAGCAGGGCCCAGGCAGCTACTCCCATTGTGGTGGCCCAGAAAGCAGGACTTGACTCAGGGCCAAGGCCCCCAAGGGCTGAGCAGTCCCCATGCTCACTCCCGAAGACACTCTGTCCCTTCGCCATTCAGGAAGCGTCACTTTGGGGAAGGCCAGTGGCCGGTTTTCAGAAGCGGCAGCCAGTTTTCAGAATGACCCTGTCAGCTGCTGAGCAGGGCTGGCTGGAAGGGTGGGTGTGCTGACCGCCAGCCTCAGACACCAACGTCTCGGGCCTAGGGTGGGGAACAGGAAGCCTGGCTTCCTTCTCCCTCATTCTGAAGGCCCAGCCCCCACCCCCATCCCGTTAGATCCCCTTTATCTTCGACTTTGCTCAGAGCTGCAGACAGATGAGTAATCCTCTCAGGGCCTAGAGAGTCTCGGGGGATCTAGGGTGGGGGTGGACACTCCTCCCCGGGCCCTCTTCCACCTTTGGAATGCAAAGCCACTCGCTGGGAGCCCGTCTGCTGGCCAGCTGAGACCCACCCCGCATTCCATCTCATCCCACGTGGCCTCAGTTCAATCCAGTCGCTCTTTGCGACCCCATGGACTGCTGGTGGCCTGGGCACTGTCTAATCCTCACCCAGAAGAGGGGCAGGCGTGGGTCGGATGGTCCAGTCAGTGGCGGCACCTGGGCTGGGACTCAGGTGTCTTCCTGCCTGCCGGGACCCTGCTAGGACACAACTTGTATAGCACCTTATAAACAGCCAGCAGGAGTAGTTTCTGGAAAGAAATTGAAAGGGGACAGTTCAGGTAAAGGCCTTGTAGAGATCAGGACTGGCTAATCTTGGATTAGCTGGGGGGTGGGGCAAGGGATGGCCCCAGGGTGTGAGGCAGAGACCAGGGCGGCCCCACTGGAGGACAGAAGCGAGACAGTGCGGGGTGGTGTGGAGAAGGGCTGGGGGCTAGGTTGGGTTTTCTCTGGGTGAGGCCAGGGAAGGACGGGAGGCCAGGATTCGAGTTTTCTCTGGGCAGGGAAGGGTTAAATGTTCTCGGGGCTTCCCAGGCTCCCGCCCCTCACCCCTCCTGAACTTTTTCCTCTCCAGCCTTGGCCTCGGTACCCAGAGCCACCCGCCACCCTTGCGCCCTGCCCTGGGTCATCATGGCCTGCCTGAGTCCCTCACAGCTCCAGAAGGTAGGGGCCTGAAGGTTGGGAGACCCCGAGGGTCAGATAAGGGGCCCCTCAGAACTTGAAATAGTCCAGGAAACTCGACCCCGCCCTCTTGTATTTTTCAGAACAGGAACCTGAAGCCCAGAGTGGTCGGTTCACAGCCAGGGGCCGTCCAGGCCACGGCACCCGCGGTGCTGGGGGAACGTGTAGGTGACAAAACCAGACTAAAACACCGGGTCTTGAGAGCTGGGGAGGGGGCGGGGGCGAGGGTCTGAGAAGGGGAGGGACCGACGAGGGGGCGGACCCGCTGATCCCACCCCTAACCCGAAGCGCTAGGCTGCGGAACCAGCCGCGGGCGTTCCAGCGTGCCTGTGTGCTATTTGCGACCCTGTGGACCGTATCCCGCCAGGCTCCTCTCTGTCCATGGGATTCTCCAGGCAAGAATACTGGAGTGAGTTGCCATGCCCTCCTCCAGGGGATCTTCCGGACCCAGGGATCCGACCGGCGTCTCTTAAGTCTCCTGCAATGGCAGGCGGGTCCTTTACCACTAGCGCCACCTGGAAAGAGCTAAGCCTTGGGAATTAGCGCGACGGAGACGTTTGAAAAAACTTGACCCTTGTGGTTTGTTCCTGGTGGCAAGAGGAAAATGCAAAAAAAAAAAAATTACAGAAAATCTCAAAAAAGAAATGAAAACATCCCATACATTTCCTTGAAGAAGGAAATGGCAACTCATTCCAGTATGGACTGAAGAATCCCATGGACAGAGGAGCCTGGTGAGCTGCACAGGCCACAGGGTCGCAAAGGGTCGGACACGACTGAAGCGACTGAGCACGCACACATACATTCCCTACGCTGAGACATTACTTTGGTACACAGCCCTTGAGTCGCTGAAAGGTCCGGGGAATTCTCCGGTGGTCCTGTCCTTAAGACTTGGCCCTTCCACTGCGGAGGGCACAGGTTTGATGCTGGGACTGGGAATTAAGATCCCAGAAGCTGCACTGTGGGGCCAAATAAAAGGTCCATCACAATTGTTGTGTCTGACTAGGTCGTGTCCGACTCTGTGACCCCATGGACTGCAGCACACCAGGCTTCCCTGTTCTTCACTATCCTGGAGCTTGCTCAAACTTATGTCCTTTGAGTTGGTGATGCCATCCAACCATTTCATTCTCTGTCATTCCCTTCTCCTCCTGCCTTCAATCTTTCCCAGCATCAGGATCTTTTCTAATGAGTCAGCTGTTTGTATTAGGTGGCCAAAGTATTGGAGCTTCAGCTTCAGCATCAGTCCTTCCAATGAACATTCAGGGTTGGCTTCCTTTAGGATTGTTTGATCTCCTTGCTGTCCAAGACCCTCTCAAGAGTCTTCAGCACCACAATTTGAAACCAAAAAAGAGGGTGCTCAGCCCTCTTTATGGTCCAACTCTTACATCCAAACGTGACTACTGGAAAAACTGTAGATTTGACTAGACGGACCTTTGTCCGCAAAGTGCTGTCTCTGCTTTTTAACATACTGTTTAGGTTTGTCATTGCTTTTCTTACAAAGAGCAAACATCTTTTAATTTCATGGCTGCAGTCACCATCCATAGTGATTTTGGAGCCCAAGAAAATAAAATATGTCATTGTTTCCACTTTTCCCCCTTCTATTTGCAAAGAAGTCATAGGACTGACTAGATGCCATTGATCTTAGTTTTTTGAATGTTGAGTGTTAAGCCTGTTTTTTCACTCTCTTCTTTCACCCTCATCAAGAAGCTCTTTAATTCCTCTTCACTTTCTGCCATTAGAGTGGTATCATCTGCATATGTGAGGTTGTTGATATTTCTCCCGGTAATCAGCTGACTCATTAAAAAAGACCCTGATGCTGGGAAAGATTGAAGGCAGGAGGAGAAGGGGATGACAGAAGACGAGATGGTTGCATGGCATCACTGACTCAATGGACATGAATTTGAGCAAGCTCCAGGAGATGGTGAAGGACAGGGAAGCTTGGTGTGCTGCAGTCCATGGGATCACAAAGACTCTGACATGACTGAGGGACTGAATAGCAAATCTTGATTCCAGCTTGTGATTCATCCAGCTTGGCATTTCACATGATGTATTCTTTATATAAGTTAAATAAGCAGGGTGACAATATACAGCCTTGATGTGCTCCTTTCCCAATTTGGAACCAGTCTATCGTTCCATGTCCAGTTCTAACTGTTGCTTCTTGACCTGCATACAGATTTCTCAGGAGGCAGATAAGGTGGTCTGATATCCCCATCTCTTTAAGAGTTTTCCACAGTTTGTTGTGATCAACACAGTCAAAGGCTTTAGTGTGGTCAATGAAGCAGATGTTTTTCTGGAATTCCTTTGCTTTTTCTATGATCCAACAGATGTTGGCCATTTGATTTCTGGTTCTTCTGCCTTTTATAAATTCAGTTTATACATCTGGAAGTTCTCGGTTCACAGACTGTTGAAGTCTAGCTTGAAGAATTCTGAATATTACCTTTCTAGCATGTGAAATGAGCACAGTTGTATGGTAGTTTTAACATTCCTAGGCATTGCCTTTCTTTGGTATTGGAATGAAAACTGACCTTTTCCAGTCCTGTGGCTATTGCTGAGTTTTCCAAATTTGCTGGCATATTGAATGCAGCACTTTCACAGCATCATCTTTTAGAATTTGAAATAGCTCAACTGAAATTCCATCACCTCCACTAGCTTTGTTCATGTAATGCTTGCTATGGCCCACTTGACTTTGCATTCCAGGATGTCTGACTCTAGGTAGATGACCACACCATCATGATTATCTGGGTCATTAAGATCTTTTTTGTATAGTTCTTCGGTGTACTCTTAGAGATGGTAGAATTGCCCATTCAACACATTTCCCTATGCTCCTACTATGTTCCAGGCACAGTACTGGGACCTAGAACTCCTGCTGTCCACTGGGCCTTCATGCAACCCTCTGTGGAAGGACAGGTGTGACCCCACTGGACAGCATTTGCCCAAATTCTCACAAATTAGAATACTAATTTGTATTTGGCTTTTTTGTTGTTCTTCAGTCGCTCAGTCATGTCCAGCTCTTTGTAATCCCATGGACTGCAGCATGCCAGGCTTCCCTGTCCTTCACTGTCTCCCAGAGCTTGCTCGAACTCATGTCCATTGAGTCAGTGATGCCATCCAACCACCTCGTCGTGTCACCCCCTTCTCCACCTGCCCTCAATCTTTCCAAGCCTCAGGGTCTTTTCAGTGAGTTGGCTCTTCAGTACATTTATTTATTTAGCTGGGCTGAGTTTTAGTCAAAGCACTCAGGATCTTCTATCTTCTTATGTGGTATGCAAAGATCTTTAGTTGTAGCATGTGAACCCTTAGTTCTGTGGGATGTGGGATCTAGTTCCCTGACCAAAGATTGAACTGGGCCCCCCCTGCATTGGGAGTGGGGAGTCTTAGCCACTGAACCACCAGGGAAGCCCCTTGACTTTTTTTTTCTAATCTCATACTATATCTAGAACATATTCCCATGTCAGTAAATATTTTTCTATCACCTGTGTTGTATTCCAGGGAGATAAACATACTTTGTGTAATAGATTCCCCTGTATGCTGGTTTGTTGGATGTCTATCTCCTTTCTTAGACCAGGTTTAGGGAGGCAGGCATCATGGATGGCTTGCTCATGACTGGATCTACAGCTCCTAAAGCCATGTCTGGTGCACGGTAGACGCACAGTCAATGGTGGTTGGGTAAATGAATGAGGTTGTATCCCTATGTGACTGAAGCCCACTGGAGGGTTACAGTGGGACAGCTCTGCTTCCACTCCCCTTCATTCAAGCAGCCAACACTCACTGCCCTTCACTGGACATAGACACCATGGCCAGGGATGGGGGCAGAGCAATGAACGAGATGCTAGGTCCTGCCTTCAGACGACTTCTGGTTTGGGGAGGGGTCAAATCAGTCCTCATGTAGGACGTTTGAGGGTGGGGGGAAGCCCGAGTCTCCTGCTTGTCTGCCTGCAGTTTCAGGAGGATGGATTCCTGGTGCTGGAAGGGTTCCTGTCTGCAGATGAGTGTGAGGCCATGCAGAGAAGGATTGGTGAGATTGTGGCCAAGATGGATGTCCCTCTCCACTGTCGCACGGAATTTTCTACCCAGGAGGAGGAGCAGCTGCGTGCCCAGGTGAGTACCTGGAGCAGGTGGGGATGGGACCTGGTCTCTGATGGGTGGTGAAGCCTGGAAACATCAGGTCCCAAGGCCCATGGGTTCATTTTTTGTGGCCATGCAGCACTGTTCAGTTAGTTCCCCAACCGGGTATAGAACTTGTACCCCCTGCAGTGGGAGCTCAGACACTTAACAAGGAGCCGCCAGGGGAGTCCCCCCCATCGGCTCATTCTGACACTGAGTCAGGCCTTGAACTTTCTTAAGGCTCCAGACTGTGTCTTATTTGCCTATTTCCTTCACTCCCTACTATGAATTTATAAAGTCAATATTATTGCCCCCATTTGACAGATAAATTAAGGATAATTGAAGTTCAGTTCACATGTCCCAAACTACACAGTTAATCACTAATAGAGCCAGAACTTAAACCCAGATTTGCCTGATACCAAGTTCATGTTGTCACTGATCTGCTGTACTTCCTTAGAAGTTTTCCTGCCACAAAGGACCACTTTGTGGCCACAACCCAGAACAAGTCTGATGATTCTGATGGGCCCACCTGGGTTAGTCATCCCCCAGTGAGACTAGGAACTCTGCTTGTCCCGCCCCGCCCCGCCCCGCCCCACCTCTATCCCTGTGACCTAATGGGACTCAGTACAGTTTGAGATGGATAAGTTGAGACCCGGGGGTTCTCCCACACAGTTCTTGTAACTTTTCATAGTCTGATTTCATGAGCCTGCCTGCTGCTGGGCCCTCAAGCCAAAGCTGCAGTCCAGGGACTTCCCTGGTGGGGCCAGTGGCTAAGACTTTACACTCGCAATGCAGGGGCCCCAGGTTCCATCCCTGGTCAGGGAGCTAGATCCCACATGCTGCAACTAAAGAATCTGCATGCTGCAACAAACATGGCCGATCCTGCATGCCACAACTAAACACCTGGCACAGCCAAATAAATACATAAATAACAACAAAATAAGTTGTGGTCCAGGCTCCATAATGGGGCCTCCCTCTTACTCATGGCAATAATCTTCTGCCATCTGGTGGGCTTAAAGGGAATTACAATGACTGGAAAGCTTACTACGCCACGCAGAGAATGGGGACCAAAAGGAAAGGGGCTTTATAGGATGACAGCTTTGCTCCCAACAGTCAGTTTCATTTGGCTGCATTGGTATCCAGTACATCCTCAATATTCACTACTGATATTGTGAAAGACTTTGCAATAGATATTAAAAAAGATCGGCAGGTGTCCTGTTCAACTCTCCTTTCCAGGTTACCTGCACTTTTCATTGTTTTTTGAGTTGACAATCCTGCAAGTTGTGTGATCACTCACATGATACTTGTCCATAGAAATGGGCATGAACTGGGTCTGGCAGGATGCAATTATTGGTTGCCTCTGTGGCTATATCGGTTTTGCATTGATCTGTAAATTCATTTCAGCGTTTCTCAATGCCTCTATTTGTGTGGTTCTTGGGATTCTCCTTTGAACATGTAGCTGGTTCCTTTGTGAATTACTGAGTTAAAGTAACAACGTTGACACTCATGTAGCATCACTGTCTTTAATATTATTAGCAATTATGCTTCCCAGACTTGTTTCCCTCACTCTGATCCTAGTACAGAGGAGCTGAGAATATTGGAATAAACCTTTCAGTGTTCAGTGGGAAGCTTTCAAAGTTTTCAGAGAACCACAGTGAGTCATTGAGTTGAGCCAGGCAGGCATCTGCGATAGCAGATGTGTTCAGGTGAGGGGGAGGGGGGCTTGTGCCACCTGGGAACCCAGGTAAGGGCATCACTCAACTGTCCTTAAGTCACCATGCAGGGAGGAAGATTATATATGTGTGTGTGTTGTGTATATACAATCTTCCTTCCATGGTGACATAAGCACAGTTGAGTGACACCAATGCCCCTACCTGGAAGGAAGATTATGTATATATGTGTATCGTGTATGGGCTTGCCTGTTGGCTCAGATAGTAACAAATCTGCCCACGATGCCGGACACTGGGGTTCGATTCCTGGGTCAGGAAGATCCCTTGGAGTTGGCAACCCACTCCAGTATCCTTGTCTGGAGAATTCCATGGGCAGAGAAGCCTGGCAGGCTACAGTCCATGGGGTTGCAAAGAGTTGGACACAACTGAGCAACTTACACTTTCACTTTTACTTTTCATTGTGTGTGTTCTTATATATATGGCATGGTGATCATGTGTGACCAAAGCCACACATCTTTGTGTGGGACATCTTCCTGGAGCACAATTTTCATATGATGCTAAGAAATTTGAAATATGATATTAAAATTAACAAGGAACAGTTATTAAGAAAAAGATTAGTAATAGCTTATATTTATAGAAGATTTATCCATGCCCTCACTGAGTGTTTTCTATAATAATAAAGGCAGATATTCACATGACACCAACATTCCAAGGACTGTTCTAGAGCCGGATGTGTGTGTGTGCATGTACATGCTCAGTCATGTCCGACTCTTTGTGACCCCATGAACTGTAGCCCGCCAGGCTCCTCTGTCCATGGGATTTTCTAGGCAAGAATAATGGAGTGGGTTGCCATTATTTCTTTCTCTAGGAGATCTTTCCCCACTCAGGGATAGAACCCACATCTCCTGCATTGGCAGGTGAATTCCTTACCACTGCGCCACCTGGAAGCCCAGTGATAAATAATAATAATAATAATAATAATAATAGGCAGATAGTCACATGACACAACATTCCAAGCAACTGTTCTAGTGCTTTATATATGTTATTCTTGTTCAGTCACCAACTGAACAACATAATTGCTACAACACCCTATGAGATAGGTGCCTTTAATAGCCTGTGTATTTTATGAGGAAACCAAACCCAGAGAGGTTCAGTAATGTGATTATGGTCACAGCCCATTGGTGGCAGAGCTGGGATTTGAACCCCAGTATTTTAACTCCAGGGTTTCCCAGGTGGCCCAGAGCTCCCTGGGAACCAGGCCTGTTTGATCATGCCATTATCGGGTATGAGTCATGTGATTTATTAAGAGGTTTCCAGGGGGACTTCCTGATGGTCCAGTAGTAAGATTCCATGCTCCCCATGCAGGGGGCCCAGGTTTGATCCCTGGTCAAGGAACTAGGATCCCACATTCCGCAACTAAGAGCCCACATACCACAACTAGAAAAAAGATCCCGTGTGTTACAACTAAGACCCAGTGCAGACAAATTAATTAATTAATTTTAAAAAAATTTCAAAAAAATTCCGTGCTTATAGCTCAGACTGGGCTGTCAGGCCCTCGGGTTTCCAGTTCACTGTCTGTGTTGCAGTGAACAAGTCTGAGAAGCATCAGTGGAGTCTGCAGCTCTGTGCTGGGTGCAGGGTTGGGGGGCATCTGAATCCTCTTCCCTCTCTGCCAGGCCCACCTGTGACCCCGGGATGCTCTCTCAGTCCCTCTGATGTCCCCTCTCCACAGGGCAGCACAGACTATTTCTTAAGCAGCGGTGACAAGATCCGATTCTTCTTTGAGAAAGGCGTCTTTGATAAACAAGGTTTGGAACTGGCGCCCTAGACTGGCTGGATTTGGGTGTCTGCCCCCCGGGGGCTGGGGCGTTGCTGCACTGAGGCCAGCTGTCTGCGGGTAGCTGGATTCCAGTTCTTCTGCCTTGACCTGTTCTTTGTGCCACAGGAAATTTCCTGGTCCCACCAGAGAAATCTATCAACAAAATTGGCCATGGTAAGCAGAGCCTTGGGGGAACCTAAGGTCTGAAGAGTTGGGGGGCCTTCCTTAAAAGCACTCAGTAAGTTAGTAGCCCAACAGATAGCATTTCTGGGTGCAGGCTCCCTCTTGGGCCCTGCTCTCCACTCCTCGGTTATAAACAAGCAGAAAGCTTAATGCAGAGAAAATAGCGGAGAACATCAGAGTGAAGCCTGATCCTGGGTGCGCAGGCCTAGGCCCGGGAGGGCCTGGGGACTGGGGACTGGCTCTTCATCTCACCTTTGTCCCACAGCCCTGCATGCCCATGACCCCATCTTCAGGGGCGTCACACACTCCCCCAAGGTGCAGGTGAGCAGAGGTGTCTGCGAGGGTGGGCAGGTAGGTCAGATGTGAGTGTGGGCAGGCTGGCTGTGTGACCTCTGCCCCCTTCCAGGCTTTGGCCAGAAGTCTGGGCCTCCAGATGCCTGTGGTTGTGCAGAGCATGTATATCTTTAAGGTGAGTGCCCTGTCTTCCTCAGGCCTCAGTTTATCCTCTGTAAAATGGGCACAGTGCTTAAACCAGCCCCTCTTTACAAGGGCCACAAGCTGTCTCCCCACTACTCAGTGGGCAAGAGAACATGGAAGTTGGTTTCCCCTGGTTAGGATATCTGGCACTTCCTTGGTGCTCAGTTACAATTTGGCAGCAGAAGGGAAGGGGCCCCGAGGGCTGCCTCCTCCCTTTGTTGGCTATTGAAATGCCTTGCTTCCAGCTTTCAAGGCCCAGCTCAGTGCCACCTCCTCCAAGAAGCCTTCCAACTCCCTGGGGAAGAGAGGACTCATCTTTGACCCTGAAGCCTAGAGGCTTAACTGCTGGTCTGGGCCCCAGTATCTCCCGCTGCCCTCACTTCTGCCTTGTGTCTTTAAAAAAAAAAAAACAAGCTAATTTTACTTTTGGCTGCATCAAGTCCTTATTGTGGCACATGGGCTGAGTAGTTGCAGTGCGTGGGCTTAGTTGCTCGGTGGCATGTGGAATCTTAGTTCCCTGAGCAGGGATCAAACCCACATCCTCCGCGTTGAAAGGCGGATTCTTAACCGCCTGACCACTGGGGAAGCCCCCTGCCTTGCGTTCTTGTTAGGCACGTGAGTCTTCTCTTCCCAGAGAAGTCTGAAGGAGTCCTGGAGGAGGTGTGCTCCGACTGGACAGGGGTGTTTTTCTGTCTGCAGCCCTCATGGGCTGGTACAGAAGGTGCTGGTTGCCGACGGGAAGCCTGGGAGAAAGACCTGTGGCGGGGGCAGGAGCCTCCCACTGAGATGACCTGGCCCCTCCTCTCTTTTGCAGCAACCTCACTTCGGAGGCGAAGGTGAGCCAAGAGCAGGCTGGGGGGCCTGGCAAAGGTCATGGCTGGAGATCTGGGACATCAATCATTGTCAGGGCCCCCGAGGGACCAGCCTCCTCTGCTACTTCCAGAGTGAACTGGTGGGGTGGGGGGTGGGGGTCCCGGAGTCCTTGACACAGTGGTTCCCAAACCTGGCAGCAACCCCTTGTGGGTTAAAAATACAAATTCCTGGGCCCCATTCCCTGAGATCTTGAGGGAACCAAGGGCCTGGGAATCTGTATTTTACCAAGTTCCCTGGAGGGCTGATTCAGCATAGAAATCGCTGATCTGATTACACACCTGCTGGAATCACAGTTACCCTTTCCCACCTCCCTCATGGGCGATGATCCCCTTCTCTCACATACCTCCAGTGACAGAGGGCTCACTCCCCTGCAGGCAGCTCTTCCCTTCCTGCATAAGCCCAAGTCCTTTGTGAGGCCCCCTCCTCTCCACCATCAAGCCCAAGGACAGTCTCCCGGAGGTGACCATCCTCTCCCTGAGCCATCTCTGCTTAATCCGGCACCTCCAGCTCCTTCAGCCTTTCCTCCTCCCAGTGTTTTGGGGCCCCCACCATTAGGACACCTTTGTTTGGACACTGGATTGTCAAAGCCCCTCTTAAAGTTTGGTGTTCAGAAAGTACACAGTTCCTCGGGAAAGGACTATCACCCGCTTTTGGCGAGACTAGCACCCACTTTTGTTATTACAGACTCAGTTCCTCTGTTGAGTGGTCTTCCTCGGTGGCCTGGACCCCAGCATCATGCAGGGGTTGTTCACAAGGGGGATGCTGTGTCCGTCCCTTGCTTCGCACCCTATTTCTCAGTCTCCGCCCCCGGGGGCTTACACTGGGCTATCTGGTGGCCGAGGTGCCCTCCCTGCCTAAGGACAGCAGCTTGAGTCACCTGCTGCCATGAAAAAATAGCCGCTGCGTTTCAGGCTGCAGTTACAACGTCGAGCACATATTGTCTCATGGGATTCTTCAGCAATCTCACGAAATTAGGTTATCATAGGGACTGCTCTACGGTTTAGGAAATTGAAGTTTTGAGAGGTGATCTCTCTTGCCCAGAGTCTCCGGCCCAGGAAGTGGGTAGATTCTAACTGCTCCTGGGAAGCCTGGAGGGCTGTGGGATGACTGGGGAGTGAGCAGAATTGGGGCCCAGGTGAGGCGAGGTGGGGCTTCTCATGCCCAGGTGGGCCTGCTGCAGTCACCCCTCACCAGGACGCCTCCTTCCTGTACACGGAGCCCCTGGGCCGGGTGCTGGGCCTGTGGATCGCGCTGGAAGACGCCGTGCTGGAGAACGGCTGCCTCTGGTTCATCCCTGGCTCCCACAGAGGTGAGGCCACCTGCCTCTGCCTGCTCACTCGTCCTCACTCTCCATGAATGTGCACGTATGTGTTTGATCCTGTTGGACTCTTTGCGACCCCATGGAGTACAGCCCACCAGGCTCCTCTGTCCATGGGATTTTTCAGGCAAGAATACTGGAGCAGGTTGCCATTTCCTACTCCAGATCTTCCTAACCCAGGGATTGAACCCATGTCTCCTGCATCAGCAGGCGGGTTCTTTACCACTGAGCCACCTGAGAAGCCCCCCGCCCCCATGGGAGAAGGACCTGGAAACGAGAGGCTGAAGGCCCCACTTTGGCCTGCAGGTGGAGTGTCGAGAAGGATGGTCCGGGCCCCTGCTGGCTCGGCGCCTGGCACCAGCTTCCTTGGGTCTGAGCCAACCCGGGATAACAGCTTCTTTGTGCCCACACCAGTGCTGAGAGGTAAGGGGCGGGTGCAGAGGGCAGGGAGGAGGGCCTGGGGGCCATGCCCAGGGGTCTGTGCCTGCTCTGACCACCCAGCTGACCTGAGGGCTGGGGAGTCACAGCAGGAGGGAAGGTCAGGTGGGCACTGCGAGGACTGAAAGCTGTGTGTGTGGCTGACACCAGGGTCCCCCAGGCTGGGCTGGAATCCAGATGCTGCTACTTCCAGATTGTTCCTAAGAGCAAATGACTGAAACCCTCTGAGCCTCAGTTTCCCCAAACATCAAGTGGGGAAGCCAGTGAGATGTTATGTGTGAGATGGCGCACAAGTGCTCAGAAATCCTGGTTGTCAGCACACTTCCTTTTATTTCTTATTTTTATATTAATATTTATTTGGTTGCATTGGATGTTAGTTATGACGTGTGGGCTCAGGAGTTGCGCCATGTAGGCAGCTGCCTTGGGGCACGTGGAAATCTTAGTTCCCCAGCCAGGGATTGAACTTGCGTCCCCTGCATAGGAAGGCAGATTCTTAACCATGGGACTACCAGGGAAGTCCCACACCCTTTCTTTTAGAAAAGGGAAACTGAGTTCCAACGCTGTGTTCCCAGGTGAGGCCCCAGCTGGCTTCTGCCTGGTTCTGGAAATGCCACAGAAGGCAATGCCACTGCCGAGGCTTGCGAGGGTGCAGGCCACGGTGGAAGGACTTGATCCTGGGGGAACCCACGTCCAACCGCACAGCCGCCAACCGGGGGCAGACTCCAGGCCCCTGAGGTTCCTGGGATGAGGAGGGGGATGAAGAAGCCACACCACCGCTTGAGGGAGGGGACTGCCCACCATGTCCCTTCTTGCCCTGAGTGCTCTCCTGATCTGCTGTGCCCCTGCCAGGGGCCCTCGTCCTGATCCATGGAGAAGTGGTGCACAAGAGCGAGCGGAATTTCTCTGACCGTTCGCGCCAGGCCTACACTTTCCACCTCATGGAGGCCGCTGGCACCGTCTGGAGCCCAGATAACTGGTAGGTGGCAGGGTTGTTGTGTGCCCCAGACAGCTCCCGAACAGGCCTGCCCTGGAGGCCCTGGACAGTGCTCCTGGCCCCTCAAGGTCTTCCCCCTCCCCATCCTCTGCAGGCTCCAGCCGACCCCCGAGCTGCCCTTTCCCCCACTGTACATCTAAAGGCCCTCTCAGGGCGGGGACACGTACGCTCTTGGGTGAAGCTGCGGGCCACCAACACCAGCGCCTCGCCCAACCGCCTGGCCTCAACAGGGAAGCCACGTCTCTCCTCCAGGGTTTTCCTCATGCCGGTGTCTCTGAAGACAGGCGGGCACGAGGTGGCTGCCAGGCAGCTTGAGCCCGGGCTGGGTGCCCTTCCCGACATCTCTCTCTGCTTCTCCCCCAACACAACCTCTCCCAAGAGGCAGCCTCACAGCCACGAAAAGGGTTCTCACTGCTTCTCTGCCAGCTTCTCCATCTTCTCCCCTCTCAGATGGAAGTCTTGGTCAGTATGTTGGGAGACACTGAATAAACATGACTTCCGAATGCAGCATCTTGCTCCTCCTTTCCCAGGCTGCCTTGCTCTCAAGAGAGCCCTGGTAAGAGGCATCCCATGTGGTCCAGCCCTGCCTGGTGGGGAACAGTCAGTGACATTCTGTGGGCATTCATGGTGCCAGGAGTTTGCTGTGCTTACTCACTGGATCCTCACCCCTTTCAGGCAGGCACTGTGTACAGAAGGAGCTGACACGTGGGAATGTTAAGTGATCTAAGTCCCACACCCATTCAGGTGTTCGGCGAGGTCAGCCGGATGCACGGTCTGTGCTCTGACTGCTACGCTCCCAGTTCTACTGGAGCCTGGAATCCAGTCTTAGATTCTGGTCGCCTTCCAGCTCAGGCCAGGCCCTTCTCTCTGAGTCCACCAAAGGGCTGGACTAGGGCCTCCTCTTGGGCATACTTGATAGGCACCCAGATCTGCAGGAACAATTACCAAATCCCAAACCTGCTTGGCTGGGGTCTGGCCCAGTGGTTGCAAACTGGGGGCCATCAGCTGATTTCACAACGCAGAAGTGTTCTGTCTGGGCCTCAGCATTAAAGCAAACAAACCAACCAACCCACAACTTTTGAAAGCTGATTTCACATAACGATCCATGTTTCTAAGTTGCCTTGAATGAGCAGGTCAATAGCCTGCGTCAATAGTCCAAGCCTATGGTCCAGCCCAGGTGACTGCTGGCTGGAGCTGGTCCTTACAGGCACGTGTGCTCTTCCCTTCCCTTCCCTGCCCTCTCTCACTGTGTACCCTGTCTGGTCTCAGAAGCCTTAGGATTCTATGACCTTGACTCCCGACCCCTGCTGTACATGTGGACAAACCAAGGCCACCTGGGAGCCAGGAGGCAAAGCAGCACTCGTATACTCTGCGCCCCAACATGGTGCTGCCTCCTTCAGCCAAGCAGTAGCAGCAGTCTGAGCAAAGGGATGGGTTTAATGCTTCTTTGAGGCCAGAAGGAATGTCTCAATACCCTCCTCTGAGAGAGCCTGCTGGTGATGCCCAGGCACAAGCTTCCAGCGCTGGGCTGCTGGCTTCCAGCCTTGGTGGGGCAGAGTTCTCACCTCTTCCTGCTAGGCCCCTCCCTGTTAGGCTGGCGAGAAGCGGGCAGAACCTTTGAGAAACCTGCTGTGCTATCTTCTCACTGATGGGAAATGTTCATCCACTCAACGAAGGTCTGCTGAGTTCCGTCCACCTGCCAGGCTGTGTGGGCACCGGGGGATACAGTGGGGAACCACGCAGCTTGGGCTCTGCCCTCAGAGAGCGAGGCTGGAGCATGCCTACCCCTGGCTTCCCCAGCAGAGCGAGTCTGAGCACTCCGTAAGCTTTACCAGTCGCCTTGGCTCTACTTCCTCGCTCAGAGAAGAGATCCACACAGGTGTGGATGTGACAGGAGGGCAAAGAAGTCTCAGGAGGGACTTGGACAAGGATCCTGTGCTGTCCAGCCTGTCCATCATCAGAACCACTCAGCCGGGCAGTACAGAGCTTGAGGCAGGGTGGGGTTGGCTGAGACAGGGAGTCGGTCTAGGACGGGATTCTCTTCCTCCAGCCCTTCCAGGGATGCAAGAAACAGATGCCCTCTCTCCCCCTCAGCTCTTCCTAGGCCAAATGGGAGAAACCACATGCACTTGGCTGTTTTCCTCTTGGACTCTCCTCTGATTGAAGCCAGAGAAGGAGGGTCATTCTACTTTCCAAGTACAACCCATATAACCCTTTGGTTTGCTTGGCTTTTTGCTGAACTAATGACTGGTCTTGGGTAACAAAGACACTGTCCCTCACTGATGCGGCCCTTGTGCACTTATGTGCAGGCCCTGGGCTGGACACCTCATCCACGTCACTTCACCAGACCCTCACCCCATAAGGTGCAGGGTCTATTATTCCCATCTTGCATGCAGATAGCAGCAGTGAGACCCAGAGGGATTAAGTGACTCACAGAGTTAAGAAGTGATTCAGCCAAGTATTCTGACTGCATGAGTTGACACCAGAACCTGAAGTGTTAACCCCTCTGCCCTACTGCGTCCAGAGTCTACTCTGGCCCCTCAACGATTGCAAGGCAGGGGCCCTATAGCACACTCAAACTCTCTGAGCTGTTGGACTAGACTTTAAGTCTCTCTGCGTTTTTAAATATCAGCAAAACTAAAACCAGGAGTGTTTTGATTTTTATTTTAAATCTGAATCAGTTGAAAAATTAAATTTGCTTCTCCCCATCTTGGCTCTTCAAACTCAAGTGGCTGGCTGCTCTGGGGACCGTTGGTCCTCCCCATGTCCCTGCTGCCTCCATCACTAATGCACAGCAGCTAGGCCATCAGCAATATCAGGAGGTAGAGAGGCAAAAGGAGATTGTCTATCTGCGTAGTGTAGGCTTCCAGGAGGGATACGGTGCTGATAGATCCCAAAATCCAAGCATAACTGTAGTTCAGGTCCACTCCACTGTCAAAGATTAAGATCAGAGCTACAGAAATGATCTGGGCAAATATAGATGTCATGGTTCCCTCAAAAGTCTTTTTGGTTCCAGGCCAGCGAATCTCCCCCATGGTGCTGCCAAATATGGAGGCCACAGTGTCACCCACACCAACTGCCAGGACGCCTGCATAGGGCACGAGGGCCCTGGCTCCTCCTAAGCTACCCTTCTGTGTGCAGGGCCTGGGGACTAACCAGATGGGAAGAGACATGCCTAGGAGCAGGTAGATGTGGGTCAGGATGAGCGGCCCACTGTCTCGTTCATCCAGGAAGAGGGACAGAAGGCTTCGCAGGGTATGGCCCAGGGGCTTGATGCGGAAGTAGCGCACATACTCCAGGAAGATGAAGACAGCCAGACACACGGTGGCAGCCACGTAGAGCAGGGGCCGGTCCAAGATGATACCTGGGATGTAGGTGGCTACCACAATGAAGTGGAAATACTTTCGAGTGATGGTGGGGGCCTGGTGCTTCTTGGACTCGGAAGATGACCGTTTGGCATTCTGGTACAGAACCACCAGGCAGGCCATGGTGGCCAGCAGACACCAATAAGCTAGGAGGTAGACTCGGGTCTCTGTCTGGAAGAGGAATTGAAAGAGCCACAGCAGTGGGTTCCTGCGGATGAGGCGGTGCAGCCAGGGCAGGACCACGCCGAGGCCCAGGACGCAGGTCATGAGGTGGAAGAAGATGGAAGAGGCCCAGGTGCCCGAGTCCATGAAAACGAAGAGGGTGCTGAAGAAGATGCCCATGAGCACCATGCCTACCACCACGACGAGCAGGAAGAAGTCCAAGGGGTCCCCCTGGCTTTCCACCACAGTGAGAGAGCGTTTGATGAGCTGGTTGAGCATGAAGCTGATGCCACCCAGGACCAGCAGCGCCTCTCCGGGGGTGAAGCAGCGAGGCAGCAGGTACAGCAGAATCATGTTGAGGTACACGAAGATCAGCAGGGCCTCCAGGACCTCGATCACCTCGCCAACACTCAGCGAGTGCTTCATGATGTAAATGATGACGCCTCCAGCCAAGCCCGAGATGACGCAGGTGTTGGTGGGCACAGGGCGAGTGATGCCCAGGGCCAATACCGAGGAGAAGAGGGCCACTGCCATGCCCGTGGCCGCCACCACAATTCCAAACCGCTCGAAATATGGGTTCCCCGCAGCCTGGCAGCGCTCCTTCATAACCAGTCCTAGCAAAGGCATGACCACCGAAGCGGGCAGTAGGCCACTGTTCGCGGACATTCGGAACTGGAAGACCGCGCTTCCCTGCTGTAGGAGCCGGTCCCATTTGTACTGAACGTAGAAGGCCTGCACCGCGAGGGCCACGGCGCACCACGAGTATCGATCCCACACGGCTGCGTGGATGCTCAGCACCACTACGAACACCACCGCCGCCTCTGCTAGCACGGACCCACTCAGCGGAGCCCCGGACCCAGGGGTCGGGGGAGCGCACTCTCGGGTCATGTCTCTTGACTCTGGACCCACGGAAAACCGGGGTGACCAGGGATGTCTTGGACTCTGGCCCTTTAATCCCCGCCCGGCAGACAGCGGTAGCTTCGCCTTGCCAGCACCTTCTTTCTCCGTTCTCCAGCTCCCTCCAGAAGGGAAGCTCCACTGTAGGCTACTCTATGCCGCCTGGGAGTTGGCGTCAGGCTATCCTCCACCGCCTCCCACTCACGGCGTAGACGTCTTCTCTCCGCCACCTCCCTCACAGCTTCGGCCGCGCCTGCCTGGAGTCCCTCACCTCTCCCGGCATCGCCATGTTGGCTCCGCCCCCGCAGTCACGTGACGAAAACTCGGTCCACGCCCTGGAAGCGCGCTGTCACGTGGGCGTGGCGTCTGGGGGCGGGGCTAAGGCGCGCGCGCGCGCGAAGATGGCGGCTGCCGCCGGCGGTCCGTGTGTGAGGTGCGGAGCGGGCCGAGTCGGCGGGGATGACTGAGGCGCGGGGTTCAAGCCAAGCGCAAGCCGGGGCGGGAGTTGAGGGCGAGATGTGGCGGCAGTGGCAGGGCGAAGGCCTGCTAGGCTAGGTGTACGGGCGCCGGGACGGGAGGCGGTTACGGCCAAACGGTCTCCGCGCGCGGGGATATGAGGCGACTTCTGTAAAAAGGGGGCCGGTGCCTCCCCCCTTCCCTAGGCGCCGGCCTCCGGTTTCCTCACCCGGCCCTTCTCCTTTCCTTCCCTCTCCCGGCGGCGCGTCCCTCGGCGCCCCCCTCCCCCCGTCACCGCGCTTCCTGTCCGGTTTGACGCTCCCTCGAGGCGCGACGGGGCGCTTCGCGGTTGCCCGGGGGGGGGAGCCCCCACCCGGTCTCCGCCGCAGCCTCCAGTGCCCGGCGGGCTCTCCCCCGGTTCCCCCATGTGCTTCCGCCGGGAGGTCTGTTTCAGGAATCGGGGAACCACCTCCTTGAGGTTTCTGCCCTCTTTTCGCCGCTCTTTCATTCATCCGTCTAGTCGTTTTCTCTTGCATTGATTGCTTCAGTCGGCATCCCGGGCGCTATTACTGGGCTTTAAAAGACAGGAAGAGAAAATATTAAAAAGACAGTTCTTACTAGCGTACT